TCAATCAGAAAAGGACAAATTGGATCTGTGTATGTCAAGGCTTCGGTCAGCAGAAAGATGTCAAGATTTCTGACTCTTTAGTGGAGAATCGTAATAGGGTGAAGGAATGGCAAGTGCTAGTGTTAAGAAATCTCAACGACTGGGAGATTAGAGCATATGAGTTATTGCCAATACTTTCTCTCACTACTTTGGATGGCAGTCCTGACACTCCACAGGGGTGCCTTGTAGCAAATGAATCGTTCATAGTAAAATCTTTCTACAAGAAGTTGTTTCAAGTATGATGCTAATGGATGCACTTTCCCTTGAAGACAGATATAGAAGCCTGCAGTCTGCGCCAGAGTTTCATTTTTTGCTTGAGAGGACAGCAGAGAATATTGTCCGACTATTGATAATATGAGAAAAAGGGGAAAGATACTGGTCAATGCTTGTTATTTTCGTAAGATGGCAGAGGAGACTTGTAATACCATCTTTTGCTTTGGTGCCCGGTGGTTTATAAGTTATGGATTATGCTTTATGGACTGCTTAGAATCAAATGGGTCAGGCCAGGTCCAGTTAGGGTCAAAATTTGGGCTTGGAGGGGCATCAGTGGTCATAGGAAATAAGTGGAGATTACCCCATTAACTATATTTTGGGTGGTCTAGAATGAGAGGAATAAGAGGGCTTTTGCTAATGGTTTTGATATTCTTAAAAATAGATGATTCCAAACCCTTTATTTTTTGTTACGGGGTCATCCTCTTTGTTCTATGGAGGAGTTGGTGAACCTCGTGGATAATTTGATTGATTTGTAATTATTTTTACACGGACAGCACTCCTTGGTACCTATGGCAATATACGATTCACACTTCTTATTCAAAAAAATTAGAAGAGGCTACTTCAAAATTCTCCACATATGAATGCAAGACTCCTTAAGCTCCCTAGGAAGAACATTCCTAAAATCCCTCTCCTATCTCATTCATGGTATCTCCCCCAAGCCCCTATATTGAACACCACATATCCTTATAAAATACAAACTGAAAACCACTCCGCATAATCAACACAAAAATTTGCCATCGCACACAACTCAATACCCCAAAAAGCCTAAGCCTCTAACACTCTAACTTGGACTACTGCCCAAGTAGATCAGCAAGTGTCAACTTGTAAACTTAACAAGTTCACCAGTCCAACAAGGGTGTAATTGCACCACTTGCAAACAATGTCACTTCTCTTATCCCTTAAATACAAAGTGGCAACCCCCTCAGCCCCAAGACAAAAAGAGGTGATCTAAGTTCCTCAAACAAACATTTAAAAGGTGATTGCTACTTCACCCTGAGACTCCTATTCTTCCATTTTCCCTTAAAGCTCTTACATTGACTGACTTATGAAGATTATGATCAAAGACACTCTAGTGCTCTAACCATTGTTGATTTGGAAACATCCCTTTCACTAATGTAACACAAAAACTACCATGTCTGGAAGAGAGCTTTTCGAGTAAAAAGGAGCAAGTAAAATAGAGTTTACTAATAATTGTGTCTAATAGCCCTTAATAGACTTAATGAAAATAAAGCAAATTTATTAAACGCTTCTTTACCCTCTTAACCCTTAAATGTCCAAATTCAAATTGGACGCTGAATGGGTTTCATAATTCATTTAATATTATATTTGAAAAAAATAACTAAATTACCCATTTTTATCATAATTTATAATGTATCTTTTCAACATAGAAGGATATTTTTCTCATATTTAGCATATCCCTCCCTACTTTATTATCTTCGACTGAACATGATGGGATTGTGAACGCCCATTTCCTTCCTTCAGAATCGACCTGCTAATTACAACTGTTGATCTTCTACACCCCATTTCTTCTACTTCAATTTGAAAATTCCAACTTTACTTTCTTAGCTTCCTGGCACAACTTAAATAAACACTCAATTATTGACATCCACTACAAAATCATTATGCCAGGATTTAGACACATACCTCTCCTGCTTTCACCGTGATAACATGCGGCGTAAACCCAACCCCTCCTGTCCCTCCTGTTCACCGAAAAGGAAACATATTCAAAATCAGAGGCATACACCTAGACATGCAGACACGTTTTTTCAGTTTCTCTGGGGAGAAAAAGAAAACAAACAGTTTACCCAAAGCGTCGAGCTGTTTTTTAACAGAGCCAGGAGGCCTTCCTCGGTTGCGCTTAGCCGGAGTCTCAGAGCTGGTTGCAATACCCCCGCCAGCACTTCCGCTACCAGGTGCCGTAGCATTGGCTCCGTAGGAATCCCCATGAAGCCCCGAAGCGGAAGAGAGGGGAGTGGTGGGTGCCAATCCCAATGCAATGCTGCCGTCTGGGGTGTACTTTCTAGGTCTCCCTCGCTTCTTTTTCCCTGGCTCCATGTTGAACCGCAGCGAAGACGGCGAGGGCGATCCATCAAAACCAATGGCGGAAAAGGAATCCAAGGGTTTTGGCGGTTGCTGCTGCGACTGCGGAGGTGGCGGAGCAAGAGAACCAAAAGGCAATCGGACTGCGGATGAACAAGAAGAGGTGGTCGCAGAGGGAGCAGGGATTCCAGGCGCCGAATTGGGAGTGATCATGGGGTTATTGGCATGAAAGGAGTTCGGTCCCATCAGCATGGTTGGTGGTGGCTGTGAAGGTGGCTGGACATGCGGTGATGGCATTTCCCTTGAGTCCATTAAAGACGACGTGATAAGGTGTTTCTTTTCGGGACACAGGAGAGCAGAAAGAGAGCAAATGCAGCTTCAAATGAAAAGGAAAAGGGTGTGAGTTATCTAACTACTGAGAGCTGAGAAGTGGAAAGAGGAGGAAGAAGGAAGAGTATAAATGGAAGTAAAATAAGTGGGGGAACGAAACTCGGAGCCGAAATTGATTTACAAGTCAGGAGTAGGGTTTTTGCTTTTTCTTTTTTTACAATTTTTTTCCTCTCGTTAGGGTTTATTTTTTTTAAAAAAATGTACTTTTAATTGTATTTTTTAATTCATTTTTTATTTGTAAATTCATCTGTGGTTATACAAGTAAGTTTACGGTAAGCTAAAGAAAATAAATGTATATATTTTTTGGAAATTTTTTAAGGTAACAAAAGATAATGAAAATACGTATTCCCTTGCTAGGGAATAAATTTTAATTTTAGAAAATAGTAATTTTCTCATTTAATATGAGATCATTTTTATTTCAATACACATATATGTATAATTTACCTTATGACTTCGTTTTCATACTTACAATTATTTAAATATTACATAAATCCTTTTGGTTAGAGAATGGTTGGCTCACTTTGTTTTTTATAATAGCTTATAAGGTATTCAACAATGTATTAATTAACACAACTTTTAAAAAATACATTATTTAAAAATTTAGGTGAGATTATAAGTTGTATTAATTTATATACTTATTTAATAAAAATATAATTTATAAATTATAGATTTACTAAATGAAAAAAAAAAGAATTAAACTTTCAAAATTATGAATAATAAAATCATGTAAGAGTATAATTTTTAGTATCATTAAGGTTCTTTCTTTTAATCTTTTACTTGATTAAGATCAACACTTTTTTAAAATAACTTATAAATTCTCTAAGATAAAAATTATACTCTAATAATTTTTTAAAAATATTGTTACGCGAATTTATAAATCATCTAATTTATAAAAATCTTGGGAGAAAGATAGATATTTATCTTAATTCTTAAATTATACTAGAATTTATTTTAATCCTAAATATAATTTTTATTATAATTTAATTCCTAAATTTTTAATTTTGTTACAAAGTACTAATGTCATTAAGATTTTGATAGTTAATCAAAATTTAATTTGCCAAATAATTTCTTCTTTACTCAATGATAAAAATAATTGAATTAATTTTAAGTAAAACAAAACTCATATTCATCTTCTTTACAAGAGAGATAGAGGAAAAAGCATATTAGTACGCCAAATACCATCATTAGCTACTCCCTTCCCTTTTAGGTGGCTTTACCATTAACAATCTAAACAAGTACAACTCTTAAAACTCCCTCTTAGTAAAAGATTTTGACTCTTAAAACTCCCTCTTAGCAAAAGATTCTTCTCTTCTTCTAGGTACACAAGTCAAGAAACAACATGATTAATTTCAATCATATTCCACCACATTTTGTTTCACCAGAGCAATCTATAGGCTTCCATATTTAGATTCCATGACATGATGGAGGTTGTCTCATTTTTAAACTTATATGCACATGAACATTTGATTGTTAACATAAAACATGTGAAGAAATGAGAGGCTTTAATCAAGGATACAGGTTCGATGTTCTTAAAGCAATGGACACCAAGATGTGTGGGAGATTATGCTAACAAGACCAATCATGTCCTTTTAACTAATGGATATGCTCAAATGAACAGTAAAGGCATTGTTAGACTCTTTCTTAAAATACATGATGATACAATCTTTGATGAAAGAAGGCATGTCAAAACTCAAGGCATATGATTCTTAGACTTCAAAACACTAAAGCCAAGTAAGTTAGCAACATGATCTAAATTAGATATTCAATATTGTGACACCCATGAATCCATTTGATATAGGAGACGTGTTTTAAATTTCGAATTTATTTTAACAAGTTAAAATTTTATGTGCATATTTACAATTTAAAATTTATTCAAAAAGGATTAGTTTATAATTATTTGAAAAACAAAAATAAAAAGGGATAAACAAAGAAAAGCAAGAGGAAACAAGAGGGAAAACATCCCGCGAGCAAACTCATAAAAAATAGTTTGCAGGTACGCACGCAGACATGTAAGCCTCGTAGACAAAAACACATACGCCTGCACATCTGCACACTTATGGAACGATGCCCCCGTGCCTCGTTCAGACAAAAAATTGTATGCCATAGTACCGTTTACTACTTTTGCCACATGGTGTGCATGCATGCCTTCCCTCACTAGCCAGTTAGCCACTTAGGTTGATCAACGACCCCTCTTTCATGCATGTGATCTGACGAATCACATGGCTCCTCCTTTTGGTATATAAATTTATCATCTTCTTCATTCTTCATTTTGCTTCACCCTTCTCTTTTATCACTTGAAAGAAAAGAAAAAAAAACTTGAGAAATAGAGGGAGAACCACCCGAAAGCACCTTAAGTCTTCTTTTCTCTTTTGTCGTGGGAAGTTTTCATTACACTTTATTTATCTTCCCTGCACGGTAAATCCTTCACTCTCGATCATTTTCTTCTCTTATGGTGCCAATGCACCTCACCTGTAAATCATTTTTCTTCCTTGAATTACGGAAAACATTCTACAAACTACTTGGACAACCACTACAGCTGTTTTCTTCCTTTAAAATTGTGAAGCTCCTTTATTTCTTTTGGGATCTAAAACTAAATGTTGAAAAGTAAGAAAGATGGTACTTACACTCCCGTTTTTACTGAGATTTTTACGTTTTGAAACGCTAAAAAAATTATAGGTTTTGATTACTTGCATGAAAACTTATTTATGGTTGCATGTCTAATGTTTAATATTTTTTATTTTATCTAATATTTATTTTTATTTTGAGTCGTTTGGAGATTAATAAGATTTTAGTTTGCATGCATGAATTGATGACTTCAATGTTATTGGAAATCAAGTAGAACGAGGAATGGAAAGATAAATTTTGGAACTAGGGAGTGAGGATACCCATGGTGTCGTATCAGTTGTAATTTGCGGTTATATCGTGACTGCATGTGCAAGGGACACTGGCCCAGCATGTCCATACGCCAGGACACAACCCCCAGTCTGTTGCATGCTCACAGTAGTCGCATGTGGGAGCATAGGTCTCACCAGGCGTGCTAGTACACCAGGGGGCTTGTTGCGTGTACATGTGTGTGCATGTCAATATGTGTGCAGCCTGTCAGGTATGTCTGCATGTTGAGGACCTGCATGCGCAAGGTGAAGAACAGGTATACGCAACCTGTTGTGTCGTGTTGCCCTACCGAATGCGCGCACGCATATACACGCATTGCGTGTAAAGGCTTGCCCCGGCACACCCAAGTGCTAGGATAACTTGTCCAGGGCACACCATTCACGCGGCATGCGTGTTGTGCAACTTTGCTGGGCACGCTTGCATGTTAGGTAAGCCATATGGGTTGAGCCCTCTAGCTCGCTCTTTTGGGTGAAGGCTGAGAGGGTTATCCCAATTGGGACTCAGTCTAAGAGGGACTGAATGGCCTAGTTCAATTTATGGGATCCTATTTGGGCTGGGTTTGATGTATGGGCCATGGCTGGGTCGGGTTAGGTTTAGTGGATCCCCCACTAGGTTCGGGTCTTGTAAGTTGGGCCCTTATTGGGTTGGGTTTGGTTAATGGACCCTTATCAGGTCTAAGTTTGTTTAGTGGATTCTGTTTGGGTCTGAGTTTAGTCAGTGGACTCCTATTAAGTCCTGGTTCAATTATTTAGGCTTTAGTGGGGTCGAATGATTGGGGATCAAGGTAGTTTAGAAAATTAAAAAATCGATAAGGTTTAAGAGTAGGACTGATGGACCTTATGGGTCAAAGTCAATTATGTGAAATATAACTTAGATTGTGATTCCATATTTTATTAATAACAAGAAATTATTAAAAATGTTTTATCGTTATCACTAAAGGATGACTGATTACAAATGTTATTGATCGTTGGTGAACCACTCCCTATGAATGGTACTGACTTTTTCTATAATGAGAGTAGATCGTGACTGATTGTAGGGGTCACAATGATGAAGTACTGTCGTGGTTATAGTTTATAACTAAATTATCGTATATCGAATTGAACTGTTTCTTATTCATAGTGGTAGTCAGGGATCTCCTCTATCCTATGTTGATATAGGTTTAAATGGTTTCGCACGAAGAGCTATAAAAAAAATAAAACTAAACTAAGTAATTTGATTTGTATAGCTAGTCTTGTTACTTATTACTCTATATTTTTAATAGTTTTTTTTTATGTTGCTTATATTTCTCATTATTTTGTCTTGTTATGCCATGTCCTTAGATAGTTTTCACTGTATTGGTTATGTTTATCAATGTTTCATCTTGTTGCTTATGGACTAAGACATGTATTTCAAAATGAATTTCAAGTAATTAAAAATATAAAATTTTTAGCAACCTTTTAAAATAAATATAATGGTATAATGAAATATTCAAAGGTCTCTCATGGTAAGTACTGTTTATAATAAAGGTAACACCACTTTTCTTAAAAATAAATACAACTTTTGAAATTTTAATAGTATAGTTTAAATACTTTTCTTAAAAATAAATACAACTTTCGAAATTTTAATAGTATAGTTTAAATACTGTTTCCCTTACTAAGTTTTATGACACTCACCCCAAATTTATTTCCCCCAAATAATGATGAAAGTAAAGATTTGTTCATCGAGCTACCTATTGAAGCTTGTTTGGATCTGTTCGTGGACCATTAGTGGATGATTGAGTGCATGTGGATATTTTGTACTCTGATGAACTATGACATCTCAAATACTAAATGTAGTATAAGAGGGCCAGATATATAAACAGATTACGAGTGCATTAAAATAATTTAAATGCAACAGAATAAATTTTTATAAATTCCTTACAAAATAAAATTTAAGTTCTAAATTTTTACTTCATTGAGGCCAAAAGTTTGGTAAAAATAATATATAAACCTCTTATACATATTGGACTCATTATAGTGTGAGAAAAAAAATACACTTGTATCATCTCAAGAATCCACAAGATCCTCAAAAGATTTGATTGGCAAATTGATGAGTGGGTCATCACTGTCATCCATATCAGGAGGGCATGAAAAGGGGTGAGTTCTATAAACTTAATACATAAAATAATATTTAAACAATATTACTAAGATTTTAAAAGTGCTTAAACTTTAAGAAAATATATCATTAACC